AAAATAAAGAAAAATAAAGAAAAAAAATTCTATTGAATAAGGAAGAAAAAATTACACATATTTTCTACAGCACATTAGTAAGTTGGACCACAAAGGATTCACTCTACAACACTGGTTCTCTCCCTTTGGTGTTTGCTATTGACATTACCCACAAGCCAATCCTGAAAAGAAGTAACTTACAAACATCTACAACAACAACAAACAACAACACAATAATAATAATAATAATAATAATAATAATAATAATAATAATAATACAATAATAGTAATATAATAATAATAATAATAATAATAATAATACAATAATAGTAATAATAATAATAATAACAACAACAATAATAATAATAGTTAATGCAAAAAAGTGTGGTCTTCAATCCTTCTCTCTTCTGTTCACATACAAAACCAACAGTTTACATATAAAAAATTAAGTAGTATAAGCACAATGCTATAAGAATAATGATAATAATAATGTTAAAATGATCATGATAATTATAATACTATAATGATAATGACAATAATAATCCTATAATGATAATGATAAAGATAATTATAATGATGATTTTGCCATCATGACATAACAGCCTATGATGTGTAAACGTGTCATGGCTCGCAGTGGCCCCATCACCATAGGGTTACGCATTACAAATAAAAGAAACACTTCATTATTTTACAAAACAAAGAAAGAAGTATGGAAAGCAAGCAAGTCTATATAAAAAAAATGATTGCCAGTGAAAATGATAGATTGACTGTGAGCCATACATGAAATTTAGTTGACAGATATGGGAACCCGATACAGACCTGTACTCTCTACATTTCTTCACGAGGATAGCCTTGTGTTGGTCATGTCCAATTTCATTCAGTGTTTTCTGAAGGGACAGGAATGTCCCCACAGCCTCATTGATGAGTTTCCTAGCCTGCCGACCCCACAGCCAAGAGAAGGACTCAACCTGATGCATTTTGACCTCTACTCCTCCAGCTCTGGGTGCAGCTGAAATTATCCTCACAATTAATCTTTTTGAATAGATATTCCAACAACATAAATTAGAAAATCTATTTAAAACAATAATAAATTATAAAATAGTAATGGTTATACTAACAATAATAAAATAATAATAATAATAATAATAATAATAACAAGCCCTACACCAGATGAGCTAGAATCCATCAACCTAATATTTTAAAAGTAACATTAGAAAGAGATTAAGACTGCCATAAACTCTGAAAACATAAAAAAAACTATTATAGTACTTTTATCTTGAATATCCATCTCTCCTGGCACTAACACTGAAAGTGTATTTTCACACTAGATAGGAGACTAGTATCGAAACTTGATTTTCTAAAATACACTTTTTTGTTGCTATTTAATTGGTCTATGTGTCTTGTTAACTGTGCTTTGATCTCCCATGAACAACCATAATTATACTGATATTCCTTTATCTTTACAACTATGACAATACTGTTTTTTTATTGAACTGACTGTATGCAATAAACAATATTCTATATATCGGGAGATTTACATAAATAAACTAATCTAAAAATAAATCTAATATTTGGTCTTTCTTCTAGCACTGCTGCATACTTTAGGGGGGTGAGACAAATCACAGCCAGACTCTTTTACTTGTTTTACTCTTCAATGCCATGCACTTCCTCTATATATAAAAGCTGAATGCCTAGTCCAAACCATCAACAAACAAGATTACAATGTAGAAAATATAAGAATAATAATGAAACTGTATTAAAATAAAATAAAGATCCTTACCTTCTATATTATTTCTCTGAACAGGCTTGTGAGGGAACACCATAATGGTGTTGAGTGATGTGATGACCCCATGCATCCCATTGGCAACTGCAGGGTCTTGGATGCACTGTGGATAATTATTATCATGAAATACACAAAACATACGACAAGATTTATCATATACAGACAATGCAAAACACACTGGGGAAAATGTTGCTATTTTGTAATGTATTTACATCCTATAGCAATCTGCATAAATTACATGTATCTGAATACTGTCAAGCAGAAAATTATCCGGTGAAGCTCACAACTTGGCAGTGTTTTAGTAAGTGTAATTGAGTGACATATGTACAACAGATTTAGACCACTATTATTATTTATTTATTTATCTATTTATTAAGTGTTACCCCCACATCCAGTGATATTAAACCCACATACATCACATGGTAAAATAGTATAGTGTGGCAGTAAAAGGGGAGGGAAATACTCTTTAATTATGGGTGAGTGCAAGCGAGGGATATATTTTTTTTAACATTCTGATGCCGGGTACATGCGCTGTTTAATTGGTTTTATTTTGTAAATTTTGTTGACATATAGATGGCTTTTTCTTTTGCATATTTTGTTGCCATATAGATGGCTTTTTGTTTTGCAAATTTTGTTGCCATATAGATGGCTTTCCAAGTGCTTAGTCATTAAGAGTCAATTTACAGACCTGCCTGACCTTATCTGATTTTTTTTACTAATACTACTACAATCATTATCATTATTACTACAGTCATTATTAACAACACCAACAATATCATATAGTTTTAAACTCTTTCCAGAAATCAAGGAAATGCATAATCAGGTGAGATCAGATAGGCTTTGTAACTGACTACTTGGCAACTTAACTTTGGAGCCATTTTCATAAACGTATGGTCATAGAGGACAAGGCACATGCACACATGCCTTTCCATTGTCAATGGGGTTAACTGTTTTGCAGTGAGGATGAGAGTAGCTTCTATTTTCCTTCGTAAGAGAGGGAGCATAAAGGGGTTGACTCTAGAAGTTGGTGCACCCCCCCTACCATGAAATGGTACTTCCCTCCCCCTGATATCCTTTAACTCTGACAAAAAGAGTTGATGTCCTATCACCTCATAACTAATGCTGAGATAACAGTGGATCACGTTAAACCTACTCTAAGTTTTGGAAGCTAATAAGCCTTTCATCAATTTGGCCTTGAGCAGAAACAGTGCTCATAAGTAGGCTTAAAATCTTGTTTTTGGCTTATTAAAAAAAGAATCAATTATTTTGCAGATTAGAGTGCTGAGAAAAAGAGATAAATTCAGTCTTCCTGCACTTGTAATTTTCCTATGACTTTATACACAGCCTGCTTGTAGTTCTATACAGCAGATCCCAGTTGTTTGTCATTTCACTTTTTTGCCACTGACATTTTGTGGATACATTATTAATTGAGTTTCACTTTTTTGTTGTCAGGGTTTTGAAAGTTTATACATATATGTCTCCAATAACAAAAAAAAAAAAATAAGAAACAAAAATCTAAAAGAAGCTAAATTGTAAAATCATATAGAGTTAAGATAAGAATATCAATTCCAGAATATATATACACGTACCAAATATTTCAATTTTGTGTGTGGTTTTAATGAGAATCACAGCATACATAACCAATACAGGATTAATTTCCAACCTCTGAAAGTGGCTGATGCTGCCACACCAGAGCAGTTCCTGGTGCTACTGAGTGTTAAGTTCCAAACTCCATGTCACAAAATTTATTCATCAATCTAAGTTGCCATAACTGTTAGTGCCTTATGGGCACTGCCTGAGGAAAGGGTTGATAGGTGTCTACTTTATCCCTGTAAACATTATGAGTGAGAGAATAATTTGGTGACAGTATAGCCATCTTTTCCGGTGGTAATTAGGGTGTTGCGCTACATGCCATGACACCTAAAGGTGTCTTGCGATCAGAGACGAGACAGGCTGCTAAGCTCCACCCACTTCTATGACATAATGGGAATGGTTGGAGTTGATGGCTAACTGTTTTACAGTATTGGTTATTTTTCGACCGGTACAGAGTATTTTAAAATATAATATCCGTGATGGCTTTTGGTATCTTACGGTGGGTTGTACTGTGTTCTAGATATCCTACATAAGTACAATTATGCAAGAAATATCCGAAGTAGGAAGAATGCACCTGGCAACTAAAAAAATATTTACTGCCTACCCGATTCCTGTCACGCGAGAGGTGTTGTGTTTGCAGTAATCACTGGAAAATATAGCCTATGACAACTAAATGGTTATAATGTACATACTATATGAGTGCATTCCATTTATGAAATTCTCATGCAATGTCTTACATTATACAGAAACAGACTATCATTTTCTTCAAAATACAGAATGCATTGATATCCCATGCTTTAACCATTATTCAAAATATAGCATGCATTAATATCCTATGTTTAAACCATTATTTAAAATACAGCATGCATTGATATCCCATGCTTTAACCATTATTCAAAATATAGCATGCATTAATATCCTATGTTTAAACCATTATTTAAAATACAGCATGCATTGATATCCTATGCTTTAACCGTCACTAGTTTATCAGAATTATTGGATAAGTTCAAATTAATGTTTTCTCAATTGACGTTATTAATAATGTTCAACTGCACACTGGTAAACAATACAACAAAACCAGCGGTAAAACTTCAACTAATAATTTTCATTGAACTATTTTTTTCGTAATACTCTGAAATCCAACAAGATATAAGAAAAATTCAACGTACTGTCGATACATTTGTAGACACAACATGAAAAAATTGGAAAAGATGTAAATGACGAAAAATATAATGCAATGACATGACGTAAAGCAACTAGAATAATTTATTGTGCCATTCATTAGTTCATCTACGATAAATCGCTAGCTACCAGGCCATAACTCTTGTGAGACTAATTTCATATGACCTTAAATAATACTATAGATATCTTAAATTAATCATAAATCGAGAGAAAATAGCCAAATTACCGAAGTCCTCCCGCTGTTTTTCGAATCCACATTCATGGCTCTGTCTGTTGTTGTTCCTCGGTGGTCAAATAAACAACTTTTTCTTATTCATAAATTCATAAGATAATAATTAGATAATAATGAAAAAAATGATAAAAAATATCAAATGTAATATCAATATTCAATGGCTGTTATTTCTTCAAAAGAAATATTATTGGACCTTTAATAGGTTACGTTTCTTCGCTCATTTGACTCCCGCTTAACCCCTCTCGGAGTTCTGCTCTTCTTGTGCTTGGTCGGTATTTCGAGCGTCGGTTGACTTTATCGTCAATCATCTCTTATTTGAATGTAGTTTACGCTCTTTTGGTGCTGTGGCTTTATACTATAAAGTCTTATTGAATTATAGAACTAGACTTTGATCAGATTTTGTGTTTATCAAGTGATAATTTTGTGTTTTCTCTTGCAGATCTCGCCAAGTGCTGAGATCCAACATGGTAAGTGTTTACAATGCTGTTCTACACCAGTTTTTTGTTTATATCAACCGTGTGACATGTTTGAAGCTGTTAATTTACCAGTGAACTTTTGATATGTGAGAATCGATCTATAATTTTCGTTTCTCTTTCAGCCGAGGCAGATTATGGAAATTAAGGACTTCCTCCTTACCGCGAGGAGGAAGGACGCAAGATGTGAGTACTAGAAATCTGTATTAACCTTTTCCTACTAAAAATAAGAATTAAGCAAGTTGTTAGACCTTATTAGACATAACTACAACTATCAAAATATGATCGAAATGAAGCAAAGCAAAGTGGAGGGAGGAATGGATTTGTGACAGAATCTTTCATGTAATGGGCGATTAAATGGTTAGTCATGAAATGTGGGTTCATTTCACTCAACTTTTTTGGTTAGGTCTATCGTTCTCGAAAAAACATGGTGGGTAGCAACTTTGTATACTGGACTCTTGTTGGGGTTTAAAGATGTAATTGACCTGATATTGTGAGAGCCTCATAGTAAAGCCGTTAGTTTGTTTTCAATCGGTGCTTGGCGAATAGGCATACTTCACACTTCATAAAGGTAGACTGAAACAACCAAGGTTGTGGCTCTCAATTAAGTTTATTGTAACTCGTAAATAACACGTATCACTAACAATTGCATGTGATGTACCCTTAATCATGAGAAATCGGTTATGGCAGGCATATACATAACGCCAGCCTACTTTGGAAGTAGAGAATTCTATTTTTTCATTAAAAGTTTTTATTTGGTGTTTGTATAATGACCTCTAAAATGGGTAATTTATCACTCTAAAAGAAGAAAAGGTACAGTTGATATATATAAAATTTGTGCAGACAGGAAACATTAGGTATTAGTTCATAATTTCCAGAATACCTCTGCATAGCAGATTATGCAAAGTTTTGGAAAGGATATATTCTTACTCTATACAATCCTAATATAGAGATTATTTGACAATGTTGATTCTTATAGTAAGGGATGGTATGAAAAGTATTATGGGAATTGTGGGGTAAAGTATGAATAATATACAAGGTAATTGTTATCGAGCGTTGCATGCTCTATAGACTTTATTAGCACTTTATGCTACTTTATAGATAGAAAACGGAAATTAAAGAACTGAGTATTGGTTACTTAGTCTCTGAGCCTTGATGTGCAGCGAATATTTGTAATGTCGCAGTAAATATGAGGTCGATGAAGTTGTACCTATGTTTTTACTATATTTCTTCTGCTCTATATAAGATAGTGGTATCAGTTTCCCCCATCCGTGTGTTGCGATTGGTAACTTGTTTATGATCGGTACTATAATGTCTTAGTACAAGGGACTGAGTAATCCCCACCTGGGGGGGCTAACACCCTCCATCCCACATGAAGAAAGTCAAAGAATCCTCCATGTATTCATGGCAGTTTAGTGTTGGACCAACATGCAGGAGAGTCTGATTCCAAATTTTGAATTCTGTCCTACTCTGAATAAGAATTTTATCAGGGGTAGGGGTTAGGGGATAGCTATGCCCAGGATTAAACTATATAGTGCCAGATTCTGTATATTCATATTTTAATAGCTGCAGAGGTCCACCTGGTGCTCCAAAGTTTCGGCTATTTTGCCAAGTACACTTAGGTAACGACAAGACTGCTGGGGGGTCCCTTCTTTCTTGTAGTACCCAAGTTAGGCAATAGATTAATAAATTTGTGATGTGTAGAGTTGGGACAAACACTTTATTATAAATCTCTTATTTCTCAATGTTCAAAGAATTAATGAATGGTTACAGCAGACAAGCTGTTTACTGCATGAAAAAAGTAAGATAGTGTAGTTTCCACACTACATTTCCTTGTTAACTTTCATGTCTTCCTTGACTATAGGGCTAAGAATGTGGTGATTTCACATCATAATTCATACACATTTGTGTACTAGAGTGAGAGGAATCAATAGAGAAATCATCGATTACTTATGCAAAGGTATTGCGTAAAATTAATGTGGAGACTGTCCAGTCTTGCTTTTTTCATGCAGTAAACAACTTGTCTGTGCTGTAACCATTCATTAATTCTTTGAACATTGAGAAATAAGAGATTTATAATAGTGTTTGTCCCAAACTCTACAATCACAAAATTTATTAATCTATTGCCTAACTTGGGCACTACAAGAAAGAAGGGACCCCCAGCAGTCTTGTCATTACCTCGGTGTGCTTGGCAAAATAGCTGAAACTTTGGAGCACCAGGTGGGCTTCTGCTGCTATTAGGGGCTCTTCTCCTTTATTGTGGAGTTACTGTTCATGTCTTCAGATTATATCATACACCAGTGACTTGATTATGTTGTAGACATGCTGTCCTCACATTTTTGTTTTTGGCTTGTACACTGCCTTTACCTTGGTTTAAAGTAGATGAGATTGTTGAATTGGAGTTGAATAGCTTGGTAGTTTGATTTTTGGTTTGTTTGATGCTGTTGACAGGGGTATTGTGTATAACATAAGCTGTGACTTTTTAAATTGTATGTAATAGTATACCCAAAATGTAATATGTTCTGTATTCCAACTCATTTCTTCTTTGTGCCTGTTCAAACATGGATTGTGATGCTTGAAATGCTTGTAATCGGGGACTAGTCTTCAAATTAAAGTAAATAGATTTAGAAGATTTTAACATTTAAAAATGTTTGACATGCCAATGATACACTAATTTTTTTTTTTTTTTTCCCTTGAGGCAAAAAAAAAAATCCAAAAGATTTCCACAAAGAAGTCAGCAACATGTCAGTCATTCTGCATGTGGCGTTACTTTTGTGGCAGAGTATTGGGTTCTGTAAGGTTATTTGTCGACCCTGTTCTAGGGTTGTACTCTTTATCTTGCTTTGCCCATGCTTCTGAGAGTTGACACCAAAATCTGTATCTGGTGTCTTAGTATAGAAGCACACATGTATAATTGAACAGTTCAGGGTTATGAAAATATGTTGAATGTCAACTATCCAGAAATTAGATTTGATATGTCTATTACTATGCTAAATAAGAACTTCACAATTCTCAGGTTCAAGTTGATTCCTCATTGCTTTAGTTTTGTTTTTGTTTGAATTTAAACAATTTGTTATCGAGTGCTCATTTGAAAGAGTAGCATTACTGTATTGAATTTTGAAGGATACAAGTTTTAAAGTTGAGATTTTAAGGGATTACTTTTTAGTTGAGTAAGAGAGAACAACAGAAAAGGGGCGAAGTATATAACTAAAGCTACAAATAAAGAGTACTTGAAGTCAAAATTTATTTATTTATTTTTTCCCTTCCAGCTGTAAGAATTAAGAAGAACAAGCACAATGTCAAGTTTAAGGTCCGTTGCTCTCGGTTCTTGTACACACTTGTGATCCGCGACCGTGAGAAGGCTGAGAAGCTGAAGCAGTCTCTTCCCCCAGGTAAATATTTTTGATTTCTTTTCTCCACTTGATTTTTTTGGTACATGTGTGTACCCTCCCAGAGACACTCATAAAATGTTTTTCTGCAGGAAATCCAATAATTTCATCGATTCTTGGTGTTAATTCTTGTGCTAATGAATCCTTCAGGAGATCGAGTACCATTTCTCCATCGATCTTGATTTGAAACAGGCTTGAATAAGAATAACCATCAAATGCGTAAAACTATCACAAAAAATGCTTAAAATCTGCCAATGAAACTACGGACGTAACCGTCATCTTTGAAATTCTATGGACTGATGCGCCAGAACTTAAACTTTGGGAACTGAATCCACATTTCAGCAAAACTCTACAGGAATTTACACGTTCCAACCCCCCCAAAAAACGTTGACCAATAAACCAGCCTAATATAGCAATTTTAGTTGCCGTGACAAAGCGTGCACTTCAGGCAGGGAATGCCCTCCGGGGGACGTTCTCTTCACCTCGGTATGTACGGCAAGATAGAGCTGCATTAACAACCATAAAATAATACACCAAATACCTTCTGGAACTGTCAAACTTTCGTGCGCTTCTTTCGACCGTCTGGAGTGCTTCATTTTAATAAGTTTTTTCGGCATTTGGAGCTCTTGATGGGGCCAAATTTTAAACTGTGATCATTACTGAAGTCTATTTTATCTTCATTTTCACCGTAGTCTTGAGGATAACCCAGAATCAACACAACACTGGAAACACATTATTTCTTACTGGCGTTCCACCTTGAAATGAGAGGGCTGGAGAGCTGTCAACCTGGGGTGGCTAGGAAAGGAAATGTGAAGTGCATGATGTGCATAAATCAATCTTAAACACGTTAATGAAGTATGATAACATAATAAGACTTGGAGTAAAAATGTGTAACCGCATATTGATAATTGGCGAAATAGTAACACAGAACTACTCGGAGCATCACAGTAATGGGTTCAGCAGTCTGTTGTTTTTCTTGGCAAGGTAAACAAGCTGATCAACTTAAAATTCAAGTGGCGACTGCACGTTATATTTTCGTCATTTAGCGGTAAATGTGAGGCTGCTGCAGCTTAAACTGTTCTATCCGGCTATTTCTTCCGCTCTGTAAGATGGTGGTCTCCATTTTCCTCTGTGTGTCGGTGTCTTCAACTTGTACAGATTGGGTAGACCATCACCATAAAATTTGAGATTGTTACCAAGATGTCTAGATTTTTTCTATTTCCTCGTCTCATTGCCGAATAAGTAAATTAAATTGAAAAAATTGTTGTTTTGCACCATTTTGTCGGGCTAACTCTTTTTATCACAGTAAACCAGTCAATAACAACGACGACAAAAAAAAAAAAAATCTTTGTTATATATAGCTGGTACTGACTATTTCTTGATTTTCTTTTTTATTAGGCTCACTAATTGAGCTTGAAATTTTCTGTCATATTAAAAACTAATAATAATAATAAAGTAATAAAGATTTCAGGTACCAAAAATTGCCTGCTTTCTACTTTACAAAGTGCAGCTTAATTTTTAAAAAATTGTACAAATAAAAATAAGTGATAAAAAAATAAGGTGCATTTGCTCACCAATTGATGTGGGTATGCACAGGCGAGTGTTTTTATTTTTGAGCTTTTTCCCCTACCAAACTGTCACAATCTATTAATGTGTTACCATATCCCACAAGTTTTTTCTCTTCCCTTTGTGGTGTGGAATATTCAACCAAAAATGTGATGGGTCTCCTTAACTAAACATGTATTGAAAATATTAATAATATATCAATGATAAAGCATGGTTCACTCAGATTTGTTTGCA